GACATCGGCCAATAAAGCAAGAATGTAAAAACGAAATCAATATAAATTAATAGACACGACTTCTTTATAATATAATGTTAAAAGCAACGTATACAAACCTAGATAACTGAACTTGTATAACTGAACTTGTAACACGTCTTTAAATGTCGATGACTGTGTTGAGAATTTTTGAGGCACCAATTTGGTAATTCAGTTGTTTCTGTCATTTGATACCGGTATTTGGTTTCTCAGAATGGAATAGCTGATTAGGATGTTTTCTCTAATTCAAAGTTGATATGCCTTGGTCTGCTGGGAAAATGGGACTCAAAGTTCCTAACATTTGTAACGAGTTAGAGGATAGTATTGCTGACTATATTGCCACTAAGCGTCCTTGGTTTACACCCCCCCCCCCCCACACACACACATAGACCCCACTTCAAGTCAAATAGATAATAACAGCGAAATTTAGTACCGTACCGTATTATTACGCAGATTTTACATTAAAAGAGACAGGTGGCCGCCCATAAAAAAGGTATGAGTCTAATACCTAAAAGCTATCTTCACGATGATAAATGACTAGCTCGCAGGTAAATGAGGTACGTCTCTAAAGGTAAAGGTAAAGGTAGAAGAATAACCTATTGCAGCGTCATTGTGCATTATGTAAATGGAGTAAATAGACTTAGGCTCTGTCAGTGATTACTCCTTCGTTCATAATAAAGCATAACTAGGCCTACAGCAAATATATCTATAACTAGGCCTATCAGTTTTCTAAGTTCACACATTACTTGTGATGCTAATTATTATGCCAAACTTCTATGCAAGTGATCAGTTGTATGTTCAGTTCACACTGAAGAAAGTTGCAGGGACTACCAAAATATTAGTGCTCAAATAAACATATTTATGTTCCCTAAATATGACCCTTGCTTTCTGTCTCACTGCATGATAGGACCGGAACATACGTGCCCCACATCGCATATCCTGTCTCTTATACACATCTTTAATCCGTAGTTAAACATAACTTTGTCA